TTAAAAAAAAAAAAAACTATCCTTAGATTTCTCTCTTATTATATGTAATATACTTGAAATACCCCATTTTTAAGCATACCGCTAACACTTTTTCCTTATGAGAGCATCTCTAACTAGAATGTAACTGGACAGGATGCCCTTTCCTGTGAGTTACTGAAACTCATTTTCCTAAGGAAAATGGAAAGTTTTAGCCTGCTATAACAGCCTAAAGTTCTTAGGGAAGTTTGGGCTGCTATAACAAATTACATAGATTGGGTAGCATATAAACAGCAGAAGCTTATTTCTCATAGTTCTAGAGGCTGGGAAGTCCAAGATCAAGGCATGGGCAGATTCAGTCTGGGAAGATCCCACTTTTTGATTCATAGATGGCCTTCTTTTCACTGTAGCGTCACATAGCAGGAGTGGGGAGAGAACTCTCTGGGGTCTCCTTTTTAAGGACACTAATCTCATTTATGAAGGCTTTATCCTCATGACCTAATCACCTCCCATAGGCCCCACCTCCTAGTACCATCACCTTGTAGGTTAGGTTTCAACCTATGAATTTTGGAGAGCTACAAACATTCAGTCCATTGCACTAAGACTAACATAAATACTATGTCTTAATGTTCTTATTTGTTTTAGTTGATCACCAATTCTTTTTTGTGTTGGTCTACAAGCTCCTGTCTAGGATATTTATTAGCCTAAGTACATTTTTAAAACTTATATACATAGTATATCTGGAAGGATACACAAGAAAAGAGGCAACATTGGTTTCCCCTAGGGAGAAGGATGAGTCTGGGACAAGGTGGAAGGGACTCCTTTAGCTGAATAGCCTTTTGTACCTTTTGATATTTTTAATCATATGAATGTATTACCTATTCAAAATAATAAAATTTTGGGGCGCCTGGGTGGCTCAGTCGGTTAAGCGTCCGACTTCAGCTCAGGTCACGATCTCATGGTCCGTGAGTTCGAGCCCCGGGTTGGGCTCGGGGCTGATGATGGCTCAGAGCCTGGAGCCTGCTTCCGATTCTGTGTCTCCCTTTCTCTCTGACCTTCCCCCGTTCATGCTCTGTCTCTGTCTCAAAAATAAATAAATGTTAAAAAAAAAATTTAAAAAACAAAAAAAACCCAAAATAATAAAATTTTATAAATATGCTAAAAATTAAGAAGTGAAAAATACCAAAATTTTAAACCTAGCAGAGTTTTTCTCATATCCTATTTACATTTTAAAACTAACTTCATACTTGTCACCAACAACTTAAAAAAAGACTTACTTAGAATAACTGTTTTTACACTATCATTCCAGTGGAAATCCCTGAATTAATATAACCAAGGCCAGTTCAGCCAGTGTTTGATGTGACCAGCTTTTGAATGGTTGGTGGGATTGCCAGTTGTTAAGTATTTTTAATATCAAGGTCTTTAAACCTTTAAAAATATTTTGTTTATTCTTTTCTTTTACCATAGCTGATAGAAATATATTTGCAAAGATCACTAATTATCTCTCTTCTCCAATAGACTAGTTTATATAGGGAAGGCATAGTTCTATATTTTGCTCTTTGTATATTTCTTGACACGCCCAGACATTTAATAAATACTTTCTAAATGAATAAGTGATAATTACTGGTTTTTCTCTTTTGTCCAACATCAAACTTATACCCCGAATTTACTATGTCATGTGGTAGTCTATATACCTCCACAAAAGCCACATGAATTGAGTTTGAGGGGATTATTTCCAATTTGCCCTATTAATTTTCTATCTCCATTTTAGTTTTTAGATTTTTTTTGTTTATGTTTCAGGAAAACCATGAGACTGATAACATAAGAAATGCAGTGCCAGGGTGCCTGGGCAGGTCAGTCGGTTGAGCGTCTGACTCTTGATTTCAGCTCAGGTCATAATCCCAGGGTTGTGGGATTGAGCCCTGAGTTGGATTCCACACTAAGTAATACTTAGCATTACTTGGGCTTTTCATTATAGGGATCAAATATTGGTTTTAAAGCGCAATCTAGTATTAGAAGTAAAGTCATTTTTAAAAATAATCTGGACTGGGGTGCCTAGGTGGCTCAGTTGGTTCAGCGTCCAACTCCAGCACAAGTCATGGTCATATGGTTCATGCATTTGAGCCACGCATCAGGCTCTTTGCTGACAGCTTGGAGCCTGGAGGCTGCTTCAGATTCTGTGTCTCCCTTTCTCTCTGCCCCTCCCCGGCTTGTGCATGTTCTCTCTCTCACTCTCTTCCCTCCCTTCCTCCTTCTCTCCCCCCCCCGCCCCCCGTCAAAAATAAATAAATAAACATTAGAAAAATTTAAAATAATCTGGTCATTGTGAAGTAAGACATAATATAAAACCTATCCAATAATAGTCCAAAATATATTTGGCCATAGAATGTCATTTTTGTTCATACATAAGTGCATAGTCTTATCTGATATTCTGTATAGTAACAAACAAAATAATTAAGAGAAACTGCAAACCTCTTCTACTTTACTTGCTCCCTGCTACTACTTAATCCTTGATGTCTTAAATCTTCTCTGCCCTACAATCCTTGTTAGAAAAGGCAATTGCCTCCCAAGAAAAACAACTC